GAAATGAATTCGTGGCGTATTCGTAGAATAATTATTGATAAAAATCAGTTAGATTAAACAACTTCTAATATATAGAAAAGCCAGTCAGTTTTGGTAACATTACGTTCCAACAATGGCTTTTATGTCATGTTGTTTAGCAACAAAAGTATAACCTAATATTGTTGTTAGTTTATGTACTGAAAGTATACAGTTAAATGTATAGACAATAAAACTGGAAAATATTTGTTGATTTCTTAATATAGAGTCTCTGTTGATCAAAGAGGTTTGTTTTGATTAAAAACGTTGGTGAAATAACAGAAAACAGCTTAATTCAGAAACGATTTAAGTTTAAAGTTGAATCGATATTTTTACTTTCATGATAAATTTTATGCACTTGGCTCTAGGCTAGGTGATCCCATACTACATCTTTACTTTAGGCTTATTATACCAACACTCACTAAACTTATAAGGTTTTATGGCACACAAACACTCTCCTAATGGCCTCCTTGCTTGTTTGTTTGTTTTGAATTTCGCGCAAAGCTACTCGAGGGTTACTTGCGCTAGCCGTCCCTAATTTAGCAGTGTAATACTAGAGGTGAAGGCAGATAATCATCATCACTCACCGCCAACTCTTGGGCTACTCTTTTACCAACGAATAGTGGGATTGACCGTCACATTATAACGCCCCCACGACTGAAAGGGAGAGCATGTTTGGTGGGACGGGGATTCGAACTCGAGACCCTCAGATTGCAAGTCGTGCGCCCTCACCACCTGGCCTCGTTGCACCCCCCGTCACTAAACTCGTAATGGCAGATATTAATCAAACTATTCTATTGGATAAATCATTTTTGGCTTTTATCACTCCTATTTCGAGAAATCAAGCGTGACGTGACTTGCCAATATTGGCTTTTATATAGGTTAGATTCATTTTAACATTTATAAAGAGACGTACTCTGAAATTCCACAATCTTTCCAACATTCATGATCTAACGTTCGGAAAGTTTCCGTTTGTCTGTTTGACCAGCTGATATAGTTTGTATAAGATCCGGTTTGTGCTGGTTTCAACAACAGTCACATCGCTTTCAAAAGTAAAAACATGCTCAGAAATGTAAGCCAGCTGTGAACACAGGCATTTTTTTTTCAGTAAGAAAACACAACACAGTGAAATGAAAACGAAACTTTGTTTCCTGTTTCTATTTTCGTTAAGTAATATATAAAAAGGCACAGTTTCCCATTAAAACTGGTGTATAGCTTAAGGCTCAAACGAGTGAGTTAAATCTTGCTGACCAGAACCACCATCATGAAGACACAAGTGATTTGCTTTTTCCTAGTTAGTTATCTTCTAAATATTGCTACTGCAAATGATAATGATGAGGCCTACGAAACACCCATGTGCAAGTTATATACAAGCAGTAAGTATAAACATTTGAAGCTTAACTAACCATAAGTATAGAAATTTGAA